GGTCCCGTCTGTGTAATTTATTTTTAAACTTTTAGTTTAAAAATGATAAATACTAAACAGCCTACAGTATTTTTAATGTCTTTATTTTACAGTTAAAATAAATGTTTATCAAATAAAGTTTAATGTTACAACTAATCATGAATCCCTTTAAGCACAACAACAAAAAAATGTTAGCATTAATTTCTACTTTTAACGCCTTTATTCTGTGGCAGGATGTGCTTTTGTTAAATTCCAAGGACACGCTGAAGCCCAGGCTGCCATCAACAGTTTGCACGGGAGCCGCACAATGCCCGTGAGCTGCACGCATTGAAAACAGCGCAGAAACTCTCCGTATGACACGGTCTGAAGCCTGTCTGTCTGCTCGCAGGGCGCGTCGTCCAGCCTGGTGGTGAAGTTCGCCGACACGGAGAAGGAGCGGGGGCTGAGGAGGATGCAGCAGGTGGCCTCCCAGCTCGGCATCTTCAGCCCCATGACCCTCAACTTCCCCGCCTACAATGCCTACACGCAGGCGGTCAATGCACAGGCAAGCACAAACGCCCCACTGTACTGCACTCGCACGACGAATTGTAAGGGGGGGTAGTGCTGTGCTTATGAAAGGATGTAATAAGTTTGAAGAGGCTATCAGTGGTCTAATTGGAGCTAATGTTGTTACCCAGACAACAGAACATACGTCATCTAGCATTAGCTTTCCCGCAACACACAACCATTAACTCACTGACTCGGGACATAATGGCCTTGTAATTAGATCTCTATTCATCTGTTCCTCCATCACTCCCTTTCCCCGGCCCCTTCCTCCCATTTTTCATCTTTTTTTCCTCTCTCGTTCTCCTTTTTTTTCTCTCCTTTATCAATTTGACCCCATTTTTCCTTTTCCCTCCGTTCCCTGCCTCCCTCATCTGCAGCTCGTCCAGCAGCAGGCCCTGGTTGCCCAGTCAGCGTACTTGTCCCCCGTGGCCACGGTTGCTGCCGTACAGATGCAGCAGATGGCGGCGCTCAACGCCAACGGAATCATCGCCACGCCCATCACGCCCATCACGCCGTCCTCGGGTAAGCTCGCCGGCACGTGCCCCACGTCCCCTGAAACTCACCTGAATTTATGAGCAGCAGCGCCGTAATCAAACCAAAAGTGGGTTTTGCTGCAATAACATTTGTGAGCCGTCACATCGAACCGAGGATTAAGTCCAAAAGTGGGGAAACTGGCAGATACAGGGTTTTGATTTAAACAAGTGCAAAAATTGCATTTTTTCAAAATATAATGAATTAGTGCCTTATCTATGTATCAATTGAATGAACTGTGCAAACACTGCAAAAATAAATAAAATACACTGAGAGTAATTGTTGTGATGTGCTCTATTACAGGTACAAACACTCCACCCACTATCGCAGCGACACCTGTACCAGCTATTCCTGCACCAATCGGAGTGAACGGTTACAGCAACGTGGCGGCTCCCACCAACGGACAACAAACAGAAACACTATACACCAACGGGGTTCATCCATATCAAGGTATTATGAGACAATCAAATGAGTTCATACTCATGGAAGACTGGAGCAACTTCATCAATACTATTTATGATATACCTTATATTTTCTTTCCTCATTGGTTTTCTTTCGCTTTTGTTTTCAGCCCAGAGTCCAGCAGCCTTGGATCCACTTCAGCAAGCCTACGCAGGCATGCAGCACTACACAGGTTTGTGTGTGGACGCATCAAAACAGCCTGGTCCCTTTAAAGGGATCCATGATTAGTTGTAACATTAGACTTTATTTAATAAACAGACAGCGGGTAAAATAAGTATTGAACACGTCACCATTTTTCTCAGTAAATATATTACTAGAGGTGCTAATGACATGAAATTTTCACCAGATGTCAGTAACAACCCAAGTGATCCATTCATATGTTAGTGTTAAGCACTTTGGGGTCCGGAGGGACTTGAAAAGCGCTCTATAAGTTCAGTACCATACATACAAAGAAATCAAACCATAAATGTCCAGAAATGAAGTTATTTGTAATAATGTGGAAT